GAACTTCAAGCCTCTTTGCCTAAACAGGTGGTAAGGCATGCTGAGTAATAGCCATCCAGTTTGTAATCAATGAAAGAAAAACACATCCCAAAAGGAAATCAAATTGCTGTGACCAAAAGAAATTGCAATGGATGCCACCAGTCTCGGACGCAAGGAAGATCGGCTAGGTCCCCTCATAGCCTTTTAAACATCATAAGAAGTAGAGACCAGAAGTTTTAGAATCCTAAAGACCAATGAACTTCAATTAAGGTATAATTCTGAGTGAATCTCAGTCCTTACTAAAGATACATGAGAATCTCAAAGAAGAGTGAAAATTGGTAACCATGTGGTAGACAAAGACCTCACTTAGGCATAAGCTAAGTGAAAATTTTCAAAAAGGGAAATTATGCAAACAGTAGCCATAAAAAAGCTGGATAGCTATATTAATATCAAACAAAATAAGACTTTAAGAAATATTACTCTGTAAAAAATCAATAAAACATATTTAAAAAATAAAATTCTGCAGCACACCATAAAATATATTTAAAAAAAGAAATATTACTAAGACAAAGAGAGTGAATGTATCAGGAGGATATATACAACAAAAATGTAATGGAGGGCCAAAAGTAGGTTTACAGTTGTGAGTAGGCAAAACACAGAGTTTATTCTTGTATTATTTATTAACTAGAGGCCCGATGCACGAAAATTTGTGCAAAAGTAGGCCTTCCTTCCCCCAGCTGCCGGCACCAGCTTCCCTCTGGCACCCGGGAACCGGGCTTCCCTCCTCCGGCCACCAGCAGGCACCCAGGACCCGGGCTGGCTTCCCTCAAGCCACCAGCAGGCACACAGAATGTGGGCTGGCTTCCCTTGGGCTGCCTGCAGGCACCCAGGACCTGAGCTGGCTTCCCACCGGCCCTGGCTTCATCAGGAAGGACATCCAGAATGACGTCCAGAAGACGTCTGGTCTAATTAGCATATTACCCTTTTATTATTATAGATTATTGTATTATTTTCTATGAACAACTGTTGGGCACCTAACAACAGAGGCCCAAAATATTGAGAGAATTGAAAAGAGAAATAGACAATTCAACAATGAGAGTTGGAGATTTTGATATTTGATAGAACAAGAATCTTAATAAATTTAAAGGTATTAAAAAATATACAAAGTATATTCTCTGTTCACATAGAATTAAATTACAGATCCACAACAAAAATAAACCCCAAATATTTGAAAATTAAACAACAGATTTCTAAATAACACATAAGCCAAAAACAAAATCCAAAGGAAAGTTTTAAAATATTTTAAATTAATGAAAACAAAACAGCATACCAAAACTCATGGGGAGCAGCTAAAGCAAGGCTTAGAGTACACTTTCTAGCTTTAAACATCATTATCAGATAAAAAGATCTTGAACCAATTACCTAAGCTTCTACCTTAAGAAACTGGGGGGGGGGGGGGGGAAGCAAACTTAATCAAAGCAAGCAGGAATAAAGGAAATAAGAGTTGTTGAAATCAATAGAGTAGAAAACAGAAAAGCAATAGAAAAAAATTAATAAAACCAAGAATTGGTCTTTAAAATGATCAGACTCAATATTATTTAGATGGCAATTTTCCCCAAATTGAATCTATACATTCAAAATCTCAGCAGGTTTTTCTATCGAAACTGACAAGCTGATCCTAAAATTTATATGAAAATGCAAAGGGCTTAACATGGCCAAACAATATTGACAAGAAGAACAAAGTTGAAGGACTTACACTACCTGATTTCAAAAGTACTCTAAAGCTAGAAATTAAGGCAATGTGGTATTGGCATAGAAAAAATGGAACACAGAATTAACCCCTTATATTTTACTAGAGGCCTGGTGCATGGATTCGTGCACCTGTGGGGTCCCTCAGCCTGGCCTGCTGGGATAGGGCCAAAACAGGCTCTCCGACATCCCCCCCAGAGGGATCATGGATTCCAAGAGGGAGCAGGCCAGGCTGAGGGACCCACTGGTGCACCATCGGGACTGGGGAGGGGCTGCGGGAGGGCTCCAGGGCATGTCCGGCCCATCTCTCCCAGTCCCAATTGGTCGGACCCCAGCAGCGAGCTAACCTACTGGTCAGAGCATCTGCCCCTGGTGGTCAGTGCGTGTCATAGCGACTGGCTGAATGGTCGAACAAACGGCTGGACACTTAGTGTACTAGGCTTTTATTATATAGGATGCTCAACTGGCTTTCAACAAAGGGCAAACAGGAAAGTGATAGGTTTTCCTGGGCTACCCATCTGTAAAAATATTAACTTAGACCTTTACTCTAATTCATAAAAATTAACTCATACTGGATCACTGAATGTAAAGAAGTAAGACTAAAATTTTAGAAGAAAATAAGAGAATATCTTTGTGACCTTTGGTTAAGCAGTTCTTAAGACTTAGAACTAAAAGTACAAACTATAAAAGAAAAAACTGTAAGTTGAAATTTATTAAAATCTAAAAATTTTGCACTTCAAAAACCACCATTAGAAAATGAAAATGAAAATATAATCCACAGAATGGGAGAAAATATTTTGCAAATCACATATCTGATAAGGGACTTGTATCTAGACCAGCCGTGGGCAAACTATGGCCCGCGGGCCAGATCCAGCCCGTTTGAAATGAATAAAACTAAAAACAAAAAAAGACCGTACCCTTTTATGTAATGATGTTTACTTTGAATTTATATTAGTTCACACAAACACTCCATCCATGCTTTTGTTCCGGCCCTCCGGTCCAGTTTAAGAACCCATTGTGGCCCTCGAGTCATAAAGTTTGCCCACCCCTGATCTAGACTATACATGAAATTTTTACAATTCAATACAGTGGGGCTTTGACTTACAAGTGTCCCGACTAATGAGTTTTTCGAGATACGAGCCATCTCTCGGCCGATTTTTTGCTTTGAGTTGTGAGCTAAAATTCAGGTTACGAGCCAGCTTCAGATACCCCACCGCTAGCTGGCGCAGCGAACGTCACAGTGATTTGACATACGAGTAATTTGAGTTACGAGCTCCGTCGCAGAACGAATTAAACTTGTAAGTCAAGGCCCCCCTGTAATAAGACAAATAATCCAATTTAAAAATGGGTTCTAACACACACTACAACATGGATGAAACCTGAACACAGATACAAAAGGACAATACCATGTGATTCCATGTACATGACATACTAGAATAGGCAAATTCACAGGGACAGAAAGTAACTTAGAGGTCACCAGGGGCTGAGGGAAGAGTGGAATGGCAATTTACTGTTTAATGGGTACAGCGTTTCTAGTTGGGATGACCAAAATGTTTTGGAAATGGACAGTGGTGATGACTGCATACAACACAGTGTGTGTAACTAATGTCACTGAGTTGTATACTGAAAACGGATGCAATGGTAACTATCTTACCACAATAAAAAATCAACTTTTTAAAAATAGTCAGCAGACTTGAGTATACACTTCACCAAATAAAACACACAAATGACCAATAAGCATATGAAAAGGTGCTCAACGTCATTAGTCATTAGGGAAATTCAAATTAAAACTACCATCAAGTACCACTACACATGCCCTATAATGACTATAATTAAAAAGACAGATAATGCCAAATGTTGGTGAGGATGTGGAAAAACTGGAAACCTCATGTATTACTGGTGAGTTGTAAAATGATATAGCCACTTTGCAAAATTGTTTGGCTGTGTTTTAAAAAGTCAAGCAAAAGCTTACTATAAGACCTAGCGATTCCATTTCTAGTAATTTACCCAAGAGAAATGAAAACATATGCCCACACAAAGACTTGTACACAAGTGTTCACAGCAGCTTTATTCATAATAGCTAAAAATTGGAAACAATCCAAATGTCCATCAAATAATGAAGGGACAAACAGAATGTGGTATATCCATACAATAGGTTACTACTCAGACATAAAAAGAACATTCTAGAACATGGCTGAATCTCACAGAGATTATGCTAAGTGAAAGAAGCCAGATGCAGACCACTTCATAAGATTCCATTTACGTGGAAAGTCTGGAAAAGACAAAGTGTATAGAGACAGAAAGCAGACTGGTGTTCACCTGGGGCTAGGTTAGAGGTAAGAATTGATTGCAAATAGACTTATATTAATTTTGGGGTGTGATTTTATAAATTTACTAAAAATCATTGAGTTGTACACTTATAATGGGTGAATCTTTGTGGCTTTTAAATTATACCTCAATAGGGCTGTTAAATATATACATACATACATACATACAAATCTGACACACACAAAAATGAGGCTTAATTTCCTAAGTATAATTAAGACACCAGCTCTATGACTTGAAACAAAGGTTTTCCTTAATCTAGTCAATATACTTTTTATTCATATAGTTAAAAATTACATGTGAAGGATATTAATATCGTTCAGCGATGGAACCCGGGCCCTAAATGATCTTAAGGTTTCTGAACTAAATTATGTGATCCTGTGGTTGAATAAATAGCGGTAAATTTACAAACTCTAAAAATAAACAACATTGGCCTTTTATGGGGCTCACTGCAGAGAAAAATAAAACAACAAAAGAGGAGTCAAAGAAGCAATTCAAATCTCTAGGTTGTTTGAGTAATAAACTATATTATATATAATCATCATGACCTAGAAATATTTAATCAGAAGAACAAAGGCTGACCTAGTAATTGGTTTAATAGCTGTCTTCAGGGATATGAAGAATTTTTACAGGGAAACTATTTAACTAGTTTTGCTCTCCACTGAGAGCCAAAAAAAAAACACCCGAAAAGTGATTTAATAATCAGCGAAGTAAATTTAGATTAAACAAAAATAACACTGGCAGTAACTGCTCTCAAATACTGGAATAAATTTAACGAGGATATTTGTTCAAGCTATTTCCTGGGCGATCCGTCAGAACAGACAGGACAGGACAGACAGCGTTGGTCTGAAGGCAGTCCTGCCTGGCAGGGGCCCTGGACTTGCCCACCTCCAGCGGTGGAACGAGTCTGTGGCGAGGAACACAGCCGCCGGGCGCACACGCCTTACCTCGATGTCCCGATTCAGCTGCTTCACGATGGCAGTCATGTTTCTGATGTGCTCCTCCAGGAAAAGCCTGGCCAAGCGGTCGCCTCCCCCTTTGTTTTGCATTTTCTGCAAACTGTTGACGATGTCGTCCTTAATTCGGAAGGCGTGCTCCACGAGGGCGGCCGTTGTCTTCTCGTGGCACAGGATCCTGTCTTCCAGCTGCTCCATGAGGTTCACAGAGTAGGGTGCCATGCTCAGGGACTGGCTGTGTCGGGGCATGGTTCTGACGCGTCTGCGGGAAGGAGCCACGTTACTGGGGTTGTTAATCAGGGAAGAGGTCACGGTTACAGCCAGATTCAAGACTTCCCAGAGAAGAAAATGCAAATTGTCTGTCCCTACAAGCTCAGTGAAGGGGGGGTGGGGGGGTGGTAAGCAGGGTTTCTGTCCCAAAGGCTTTCCTTCGTGAGCCAGGAAGCATCTTTAAACAATCGTACCCAGCAACTCAAGTGTGCTGGTAGCAGGTTCCACGACCTCCAAAATCAAGAGGCTGGCGGAACTGGGCACACTGACATGTCTTCCCAGTATAAGCCGTTATCAAGACCAAGCTTATTGCCCTGGCCAGTGTGGCTCAGTTGGTTGGGCATCATTCCCGTTCACCAAAAGGTTACGGTTCAAATCCTGATCAGGACACATGCCCGGGTTGGGGGCTCAGTCCCTGATAGGGGGATGTGCAGGAGGCAGCAATTGATGTTTCTCTCTCTCTTTCCCTCTCATTTCCCCTGTCTCTAAAAATCAATTTTAAAAAATCTTTTAAAAAAATCAAGCTTATTAATAAAATCTCCTGACATGCCCACCTCCTTCCTCCCCGTAACGCAGTGGTTACAAACCCAAATGCCTACAAGGGTCAGGCAGGTAACATAAATGAGTGAAGCAGACCGTACGATGCAATAGGGAGGCGGGGGGGGGGGGGGGAGGGCGCTTTGGAGGACTGGAAAGGGCATTCCTCAACTAAAAGGAGCCACAATTCTGCTCCACCCCTGAGTGACCATCTGGGAATGCCAGGTTCACTTTTCCAGATCATCTGATATTCAAGAAGAGCCAGAAGATCCAGCCTTGTATGAGAAATCTCCCGATTCTTAAGTGATAACAACTAATTTAAAAAGTATTTAAGGTGATGTAGCAAATCAAACCATGTATTTCCATGAGCCAATATTGGCCTATGGACACCCAATTTGCAACTTCTGATTTAAAGGGCTCACAGAGACCTCAGTCCCCCAAGTCTCCAGAATTATATGTTACTGTTGACCAGAAGTACACCCGTACTGCAGGGCTACTGTGAAGTCTGCACCTCTCGTGGTCATGGAGTGGCCTAAAGGATCCGACAAACTGCAAGCTGGAGAGGCTACACAACATACTGCTCTTGCCCTTGAACAAAATCCTTCTTGGATAATGTAACAGCTATAATACAGTCTCATTCACAAAGGCCATCACACCCACTAGCAGCCTCTATGGGATTGGTGAAAAGAAAAAGTATACCTTAGATGCATGTTTTCCATATATTATACCTTTCCTTGGTGACAAGAGAAGGAAATACAGTGCTCCGTTGGGCCATTTTTCTTTTTTTTTAATAATTCACATCTGTTGAAAAAACAAGCATTAAATTATTTAACAGTTTATATCTAGAACTTAAAATGATCTCTAAAGCGTATTATTAAGTTGCTAAGTGGACCATAAATTATGCTGACACACTGATCAATTATATTATGAAAGACCTATGACTTAATAGTATGTGTGCAATAAACAGAAAATGTTTCCAAATAAGGAGAAAAGAATCCAGCAAAGTCAAATGTTCCTGAAATTAATATCACTAAGCCTGGTGAGACAGACTAACAAGAACTGTTAAATGTAGTTTCCTGAAGTTTCTTCATCCCATATCTGTATTTCAAGCTTCAGAAATCACTTTTATAGAAACAAGACAGTTTCTGTACCTGGCTTATTCAAGCTTGTACTTCTCCCTAGAAATTACAGAAAGCTTCCTTAGTAAATCTGATCTCAGCAAACTTAGTAAATTATACAGCAAAATAAAAGCACTTGCTTCTAAATGAATCTTAAGTGAAACAATTTATGAGCAGTGGGATCTGATTTGAGGAAATCTGTCGATCCACTAAGAGAATGAGGATAATGTTCTTCATTAAAACTCTGTTGTAAGATATAATCATTCATATTACATCTTGCATATAAGGAACATTTGATCATCACAACGCATTAGAAATCTGAGCAAAACTAGAAGGTTTTAAAAATATTTCATTACTTAGGTTTCTCAAAAACTGTTATTAATTGGCTTAAAACAATGAATGCCTACTAACCATGATCTGATTCAGTAATGAGTTCTCATTAGATGCTCGATTCAGAAAGCATTTCTGATTGAAACCATTGTTTTGGCATCATCTCCCCAGTATGTTATTTTTAGTTTTGCAATGTGAACATTTCACTTTCCTAGATACAGAACTTCAAGTTTACATAAATTGCATTAAAGAAAAAAAGGGATTCATGCTAAACAAGCTATGATGCCAAAGAAGCTCTTCAGCAAAGATAAATAATTTCTGCCCTGCCCATGTGGCTCAGTTGGTTGAGCAACATCCCATGCACCAAGAGGGTGCTGGTTCAATTCCTGGGCAGGGCACATGCCGGGGTTGCGGGCTCCATCCCCAGTAAGGGGCATGCAGGAGGCAGCCAATCGATGTTTCTCTCTCTCATCAATGTTTCTCTCTCTCTCTCCCTTCCTCTCTCTTTAAAATTAATAAAAAATAGCCCTGACCAGTTTGGCTCAGTGGATAGAGCGTCGGCCTGCATACTGAAGGGTCCCAGGTTCGATTCCGGTCAAGGGCATGTACCTTGGTTTACAGGCACATCACCAGTGGGGTTGTGCAGGAGGCAGCTGATCAATGTTTCTCACTCTCTATCCCTCTCCCTTTCTCTCTGTAAAAAAAATCAATAAAATATATTTTAAAAATTAATAAAAAATATTTTTAAAAATATAAATAATTTCTGCCATTTACTACTTAAAATTAGGACAGTGAAGAAGCTGTTTATATAATCTTTATCATCTTAAAGCTGTAAAATACCTTAGTTGAGATATTAATCCACAGAATAACCCAACCTACGAAATAGTTATTTGGTATCTATTATGTAGACAATAATCTAATCATTTTTCTTGGGTAGCAGCGAGGTCAGGGAAGCACTGATGAGAACGGGTAAGATTTTTTCCAAAGTAGAGAATAGAGAGAAAGTTCCACACCTTTTCTCCTCCACACTCCAACACTATCCAACACACCCCCTGCCTCAAGGGCTTCACAGCCTACAGAGAAAGGTAGACATCTAAACCAACCAAGATGACTAATGGGGTCGTGGCTTAGGAACCACGTGAACAAAAACACCTGGGAAGAAAACACTAACTGGAAAGCATATGTGCAACCCACGTTTAGTGCAGCATTACTTACAATATCCAAAATATGGAAGCAACCTAAGTGGCCGTTGACTGATGAATGGATAAAGAAAATGTGCTATATACACAGAATAAAACTTTACTCAGCCATAAAAAAGAATGAAATCTTGCCACTTGCACCCTGGCTGACATTGCTCAGTGTTTAGAGCGTTGCCCACAGACCGAAGGGTCACAGGTTTGATTCTCCGTCAAGGGCACATACCTGGGTTGCAGGTTGAGTGTAGGTCCCCAGCCCAGTTCAGGTGCGTGCAGGAGGCAACCAATCTCTCTCTCTCTCTCTCTCTCTCTCTCTCTCTCTCTCTCTCCCCCTCCCTTCCCTCCCTCCTTCCTTCCCTCCCCCTTCTTCCCTTCCACTCTCTCTGAAAATGCAATGGAAAAATATCCTCAGGTGAGGATTGACAAAACAAAACAAAACATCCTACCACTTGTGACAACATGGATGGACCTCGAGAGCATTATGCTAAGTGAAATAAGTCAGGCAGAGAAAGACACTTACTATACAATCTCACTTATATGTGGGATCTAAAAACAAAAATACAAAGAAACACAAGCTCATAGATACAGAGAACAGGTTGGTAGTTGCCAGAGGTGGGGTTTGGTGGGTGCAAAATTGGTGAAGGTGGTCAAAAAGTACAGACTTCCAGTTATAAAATAAGTCCTGGGGATGTAATGTACAGCATGGTGACTATAGGTAGCAATACTGTACTGCTTTCTGAACGTTGCTAAGAAAGTCAATCTTAAAAGTTCTCATCACACAGAAAATATTTTCATCATAATGCCAGATGTCAACTAGATTTATTGTGGTGATTTTGCAATACATATAACTATCAATTCATTATGTTGTACACCTGAAATTAATATAATGTTATACGTCAATTATACCTTAAATTAGAGTTTTTTAACATAAAAAGCTACATAGGGAGGAAAAAAAGAGAGGGCCTCATTTTTCTTGGGTAGCAGCGAGGTCAGGGAAGCACTGATGAGAATGGGTAAGATTTTCCAAAGTAGAGAACAGAAAGATAGATCCACACCTTTTCTCCTCCACACTCAACACTATCTCTACTTGCTTTACTCTCAGCACACTCTGGCCTAACCCACTCTTCCAGCCTTATTCGTGGCCACTCTTACCGATTCCCCTTCCCCAGTTGACTCTAATGGAGAGAGATGAGTGCGCTCCCATGGTCCAATGACACTACCCACTAAGATAATCCGACTCACAACTCTTGCCCTGAGCCCACACTCACCAAGCACATCATTTAGCTTCCCATGTGGCTGTGCATCAAAAGGGAGCATGGGGCAATCAGCAAACTCAAGACCCAGTCTACCTGCAGCTACTGTTCTCACCGTGAATTAACAACTGGAATTACACCTCAATGGGAACCTAGCTTGCGTAAGTCAGTCTCCTGAAATCTGATCATCTCTAAGGGTCCGAACAGAGATGAATATCTAAACCCATGTCACTGAAATGTGATGATCACAACATGGTTTCCATCGTGGGGGACAGACTCTTACATAAAATGATCCCCGTGTTCTGGAGTTCACACCTTGTGTGATCCCCTCCCCTTGAGTTAGGTGTGACCTGTGACTTATTCTTAACCAAAAGAATACAGTAGCGACCAGCCAGGTGCCAGTCATTGTACTCAGCTGGTGGTTGTTGTCAGATGGGATTCTGACACCAAGTTACTGATGTAGGGCATATATAATGCAGCTTACTAGGAATATTTTTAATTTATTTTAAAATGTTTAATTATTTTATGATCTAACTTTTAAGTCACTTAATAGACTTCTAAATAATTGTCTCGCTTAGAAAACATCTCAAGAGCATTTTTGTTGTTGTTAATCCTTACCCGAGGTTATTTTTCCATTGATTTTTAGAGAGAGTAGAAGGAAGAGGGAGAGACAGAAACATCCACATCGATTGGTTGCCCCCTGCACACACCCCAACCAGGGATGGGGAACCTGCAACTGAGGTGTGGGCCTTTGACCAGAATTGAACCCGGGACCCTTCAATCCTGGGCTGGCGCTCTATCCACTGAGCCAAACTGGCTAGGGCTCAAAATAATTTTTTAATTTACCTTTATTGTTGAAAGTAACACAGATGCCAAAAGAATACTGAAGACAGAGTAAGAACTATTTTTTTCCTAATAACAGTGGCTCTGTTCTAGCAGGGGAAGCAAATTATAAAATAAATCTAATTTGTCACAAGATACCATTTCATCCCATCGGGCTGGCCAAAATGCAGAGTGGCAAGACCACGAATTGACAGGAACATATATGGAACAAGGGGAACACCAGGTGGGAATGGGAATCGGCACCACCACGATGGAAAGCAATCTTCAATATCTAGAAAAGCTAAAGGTGCCCAAACCCCGTGACGCAATAATTCCAGTGCTGAGAAGTTCCCCCCAAACTTCTCAAACATGTTCACAAGGAAACACAAGAATACTTAAGGCAGCATTGTTTCCAAGAGCGAAAAAGTGGGCTAGAGAGGACGGAACACCCGTCATTAGGCAAATGGGTGAATAAACCATGATATGTTCACAAATGGCTATTGGTTAAATGTCCAACAATGAAAGAGTAGTTAACAAAACATGGCACATCCACTCAGAAGAATGGCTATTTGAAGTAACGGTTACAGAAGCTATGAAGCTGCACAGAAAATATTTACATGCTAGCTTAATGTTAAGGTTTGTTAAAAAGAACAAGATCGGAACAGAGATTTACAGTACTAGATAGAACCATAATCAGAGCCTGGAAACCAGAATTTTGTGCCATGGCAGCACAATTTAGGTAGTGCAAACGTTTTAACACAATGCATTTAAAAGCACCTGGCAAAATTTTAAGTTCCATCCTTGTCATGTCCTCCCCTCTTCCTCCTCCTCCTCCCCAACATAAGGAGCACTGGAACCTGAGCCAGCAGAGATAATGGTGTGGTCAAGGTCAAGGACAGGACGACCACAGCACCTCTGTACGCACAGGCTTCCCTTCCTCTCCTATCTGACCCACCACCGGACCCCTCTCTCCATGAATGGATGCTTCCTTGGATTTGTGGTGCTCTTTAACGCTGCTCCCCCACCACACCCGTGCCAAATGGGTGGGATTGCTCTGCCCTGTGAATAGCTGTTGTCTGGGT